GGCTGGGGACCGTGCCGCACCCGCCGCCAGGCGCGCGGGTGCCGGGGCTGGAAGGTGCGCTCGCGGCCCGCCGCCCTGCCCAACAGACGGTGGTGGGGACTCCGTGGGGAGCGGCGTCGGGGCTGGGGGGTGGGCCTCCAGGACCTACCGCCCTGCAGAGAAGAGGGATCGGCAGCCTTCGCACCCTGCCTCGCCCCCCGGGTTCCTGTGACAGCTGCGAGGGAGCCGAGGTCCCAAACGGAGCACCTCAGCCCCTGTCCCACCCAGTTTTAGTTTCTCGGCGTGCTCGTCCAGACCGTCCCTTGCAGAGAAAGGGCTTGTGGCCGCGGCTCTCTCCCTGGCCCTCCCCGTCCAGGCAGGTCTTCCCTGAAAGCCTGTCTTACAGCACAGAACCTTGCTTTCCAAGGGACTTTTCCAAGTTGCATCACTCCTTGGCCTCTAGACAGGTGCTTGGCTATCATGTTGGAGTTACACGGGATTTTAAAAAACTTTGTGTATTTACTATGTGCGGACCCCTTCACCCCAAGGAAGCAGTGCCCTTCCAACGCTGTTCAAAACACCTTGAGAATTCTTTTGGGGCACTGGTTCTCAAACTTGGCAGCATGTCTAGAGAGTTTTAAAAAAATACTGATGCCTAGGTCCCACCTCTAGAGATCCCCATTCAGTGGGTCGGGGCTGGGGGTGGGGGGGGCTGCCTGGACAGTGGAATTAAGAAGCCAGGTGATTCTAACGTGCAGCCACATTTGAGAACCGCTTGTTTGGCGCTTGCTCCCAGAGCTACTTTTTGTACTGGGGAAGATCCGTGTTAACAACTCATCTCAGGCACTCTTGACTGCCTTGCTGTAGGCCACCTCTCCACCTGGAGGGCCTGTTGGTTGGTGCTTTCCAACCTTCGACTGCAGATGGTGCCTTTTTCTGGAGTATGCTTTGTTTCTGCCTTTCTGTTTACAGTAAATATTGCCTGGGCACTTTCTGTCAAGGAGTTGGGAGTGTAGGAATTTAAGCCACAAAGTCCTTGCAGGATCAAGGTTATAATACAGGGTTGTTATGCTCAGGCAAAACAAAGTGATAATTTGACTCATCTTATTTGGAGAAGATTTCAGATTAAAAGGAGGGAAAATACTTTAGGAATCCATTAACTTTTGGAGACCCTCTGCCACAGATAATGATTTTGCCTCTAAGTGTGAGGATTTGATCTTGGAGAAAGCAAGCTAACAAGATCCTTAAGGTTTTGTGGCCAATTTTGTGTTAATGTGCGAGCATTTGTGACTTAAGCTTATTCCCGTTGTGTGATTAAGCCCAGATGTAACACAGTGTATATTTCTTGTTGATAGAGTAATACCTGAATTACAGAATTGGTGCCTTACGGTAGCAATGCACAGCTGAGCTGAGTCCGTAGCCACGTTTCTGATGATCTTAAAAATGACAGGGAAATAGGACTAAGGAAAAATTGAACATGGGTATCAATATTGACTGAATTTGATCATATATATTTTATTAAGTGTGTTTTCAGTGTCCATGCTATTGTGACAGTCTGCTTGGATCTTGGTTAATTTTCTGTTGTATCCAAGTATAATGTTGCTACCTGGCCACAAACCAGTGGCTTTTATTTCTTTTTAGGTGCTGGCTGGCGCTCTATTTTGTGTTTTTCTTAGGAGCAGGGTGTCTTTTAAGAGAATACCCTCCAGAGGTGGAGAAACATTTGAGTTCATTTCTAGCCCCTAACATGAGTCAAAAGAACCATTCATTTTGAAAAATAAAAAATTGTGTAGTTCTGCCAGTTGGATTTTCTTTTTCCCACCTTCTGCTACCATACCCCGCTCCTATCACTGTGTTCAATTGCTGGAAATGGGGCCGCTGTGGGAGCGGTCTTAATTGTCTTGGCTTGAGAATGGAGGTTATGTGGAGTGCATGGTCTCACAGGGTGGCCCCTGACCTGAATCCTCAACCTTTGGGGAGCAAGACCATATGGAAAGTGTTTTCCTACTGTTGATTTTTTTTTTTTCTTCTCCTTGGACCAGGCCAACAAAATGAAGCCTGCCTTATTGTGGTATTGCATGGTATTGCATGGCTTGTAACCTTTCTAATCTTGTCGCCATTTTGGGGAAAAATGTTTATTTGAGGATGCTATTGAATTCTTGGTGTCTGAAAAGTTGCACTTGAACAACAGTGGTTACACTGTGAATATAATCGTGTATTCTTCCCCCCCCCCAAAAAAAAACATAAGAAAGGAAAAATGCATGTTATCTGTGGCTCTAAACAGATTTATTGAAACGTTTCTCACTTGGGTCTTGCGGCTCTGATATTCTAAAATGATTGGAAGTAAGTGAAGAAAAATGAGAAGAAAGTTAGTAAGGGGCTTCTTCATTTTGAGGAAGGGTATACGACACTCAGAAGAATGATTTTTGATTTGTGTTACGAGTAGACTGCCCTATTGGTTTCCTCTTTTTTTCCTTCTGTAAGTAGGGACAGTTAACTTGCTTGTACAGTTGGGGTGCGGAGTGGTTAAAGAAATGTAATGGATTCCTTACCTGCCTTTCCCCCTGAAACCCATTTATCTGAGAGATGCCGTCGACCTTTAAACAACAGCAACAACTGATTTTGCGCTTTTCCTTTCTTTCCCCGCTCTGATCCGGGCAGTGCAATGGGAGAAGTTGGCATCAGCAGAGAAAAACAAAGTTCAAGGGAATTGAAAATTGGGTAATTCTCCCTGAATGACCAAGTGCTTATTTTGTCACATGGCATTGCTGTTATCAAGAAACAAGTAATGGCATGAAGACTCTGAAAATGGAAAAGAAAAAAAAAAAAAGGGATGTGACAGGAGTATCACCACGGTTGCCTGGCTTTCACGTAGGGGAAGCTTCTGGGAGTTTGCAGTCCAGTGCCCCGGTTCCAACCTGCCTTTACCCTCCTCTGTCAGGCACTGCCCTCTGTCAGCGCCCCCCCCCCCGCCCAGCCAAGATTGAGACAGTGCCTCAATCTTAAATTCACGCCAGGTTTTTGTTTGTCGTTTGTTTGCCTCGATTACCGGCAAAGCTCCGCATTCCCTCATTGAGTTCTTGGTGAACAAGGTACAGTCCTTGACTTAGGGAGCTTGAAGTCTGGTGGAGATGAAAACTGTGGGTTATAGTCAACTGGGAGCTCTTATAATCACAATGAGCACAAAGAACTGTGAGGAGCAGCCAGGTAGCCCCTGGCTAGCCTCACCTGGGTAAATGCCTTTGCTTGGGTTTAAATTAGAATTTACTAGGTCTGACATCAAGGCTTTTTTGTTTTGTTTTAAGTGGGCTCCATACCCAGTGTGGAGCCCAACGTGGGGCTTGAACTCACGACCCTGAGATGAAGACCTGAGCTGAGATCAAGAGTTAGATGCCTAAGGGACTGAGCCACCCAGGTGCCCCTGGACATCAAGTTTTAAATGACTGACTTGAGTCCTTCCTGACAGAGAGGGGAGATGGTGCAGAGAGGTAGTGGGGAGTGAGGAAAGGAGGCCAGATTCTGGCAGAAGCATTTGGTTGAAGGAGCGCTTAACCAAGCAGTGCAGGGCATTCCCTGGGGTTGGGAAGCTGGCAGGGAACGGGGCTGGGTCCATTTGGGGCATGTTGGTAACTGGCAAAGTAAGCTTCGTTAGCAGTGGCTACGTCTGCTGTGGGGCGGACAGGAGAGAACTCGGTGCTTCTTTGAAGATGCAGCTGGTGTGCTTTTAGAGCAAGTGATTTGCTTACTGTCTGCAACTCCAGCCAGCATGCGACATTCATTCTTTGTCATTCTGTAGTCACTTTAGCTCACATTTCCTTGGACAGACTGAGAACTGGACTTCACACTGTTTTTCCCTCTGGAGGGTGGTTTCCAAACAGCTGACCCACTGGGCTAATAACCCCACGGTTAAAAGAGGAGCTACCCTTTGTTTATTGGCCCCCTTCCAAGCACCGGGTCGCGTGCTTAGCACTTGTCCTGTACCTACTCAAGAGGCAGGTGGCAGTGGCTTCACCTTACGGATGAGGAAGCCGAAGCCGAGGCCCAGTGAGGGGCTGGATCCTGCTGTAGCTCACGGCGCTGCAAGGAAGTAGCAGAGTTGAGGTTCGAGAGCCTTCAGGGTTTTCTACTGCTCCGTGTGCTTAAGCAGAGCTGATTAAGAAAGTATGTTTTCTGTGCCCTATTTTTCTAACATCCAGTCCTCTTAGGTCTGGATTGATTTATCATTTTCCTTTACTAGGTGATATGTTTTGCTTTTTTTTTTTATTTTTTATTTAAAGATTTTTATTTATTTATTTGACAGAGAGAGAGGTAGCGAGAGCAGGAACACAAGCAGGGGGAGTGGGAGAGAGAGAAGCAGGCTTCCTGCAGAGCAGGGAGCCCGATGCGGGGCTCAATCCCAGGACCCTGGGATCATGACCTGAGCCGAAGGCAGATGCTTAACGACTG